AATAGGGTCTGTCTTTGAGACATGAATATTGCCTTTTGCCACTTTAAAGTAATATTTAAATGGATTTGCCTGTTTAAACAATGCAGACTGAACATAGGTATTAAAAGTACTTGAATTTATGAAGCCTAAACAAGACAGTTTTCTCTAGAATTGATCCTATATAGATAAGGCAAGATGACCAGCTGAGCACACTTAAACAAGCAAAAAACCCCACCCCATGTGTTCTGATGTGAACACTAGGATAATGGGTGACTAACGGGTCTTTATCATAGGCCCTGCAGGACACATTTTGATGTGAAAGACAGAGAGGATTTTCGTGGCTTCCATTAAAAGTATCCCTGAAGCTAAATCCTTCCATATCTCTAGAGTCATTCCTCAGTGATGTTCTCTATCACACAGTCATGAGTCACAGATGAAAAAGGTGATAACCTTGGTTGCCTCAAGCTCGGTACATACCATTAATATCCAGTCACTAAGGAGTGAAAAAGCACTTAGTTGAGTGGAGTGAAATGCATTTTCCTCTGTCCAAAAGGTGAAAAGTTGTTAAAATTCCTTTCATGCAGAGAACCTCAAAGCTCCTCGTTGTTAGGATTTTAGACTCTCATCAAGAAAATGCCATTGGTTTTAGTTTACTTGGTCCTTGATTGGTACTGTACTTCAAGCCTTTTAAAACTCATAAACTCAAATTATTTTTAAACAGCTTTCTTACTAGGTACATAAAAAGATAATTAGGAAAGCTCACTATAAGTGTGTCTTACAGTGAATTCTGCACAGTGAGCACGAGCATGAACTCATTATTTTTATCTATAAAGGTATTATCCACACAACGCCAACAGCATGTTCGGGATGTGTAAAATGACAACTACCGCCATCTTGATCAGACTCTGGAAGATTTTTTGATTAAAGGTCTGCTGCCTGACATATAATGCCAAATAATTGATTTTTTTTTTGATTCTTCTTAAAAATTTAAAGATACGAAAATTCAATTAGATGATTTTACGCATACCAACACAGTGAATGTTGAACATGTTGCCAAATACCGGATTTACAGGCCTTCCGGTATTTCTTTCAAATTCATATTTACTATTTACTAAGCTGCGGCAGGGAAATGGTTCTTACATTTTGTCTTGGTTGAATTTGTTCAAGTTTCTTAATCTGGGGGGGAGAAGAATTCTGTGCTTTAGAATTGTTGCTACATCACCTGGATCATCTTTCTCAGATGACTGAAGTTTCTTAGAAACAACTGCTTCGCCATCTCTGATAACACAAACTATGAAGCATTAACTTAATTTCGGCATTGCTACAAGTATCTGTACATGTCAGAAACAGGCTCTAAAATACAAACCCCTAATATCTTGAAACTGCTTAGTTCATACCCAGTGTGTTTTATTTTCATATTTCCTGTCTACATCTCATGTAAAATCAATCTGACAGATGCTAACGCAGATCTGAGATTCATTAGAAAGTCATTAATTATCCTAAGGGAATGTTTATGGATAGGAACACTGTCTATGGTGGGCTGTCAAGACAAATTGACCAAATGGCTTCTCTGTAACCACCGTGCAACCCTGACAGGCTAATGACAAAACTCAGTGCACGGTATTCCTCTAAATGTAACATAAAATCTAATGTAAGAAACGTGGTTAGTGGAAGTGTTTACGGTGCTTCCAAACCAAACCATTCTATAATCAAATTGAGCCCCAAATTTGTGACTTCGATATCAAAGCGATTAATGTAGTTTTCATAAATTAATTTCCCAATTGAAGTTTTTATCTAAACAGTATTTTGTGTTGGACTTTCAGTTGGAGAGTTGAGAGTGGGCAGTCCTGAACAGTTAGCCCTCGGGAAATGGGTACTCTAAACACTGGCTCTTTGTTTCCTCAGTCTTCCCCTAAAACGCCTTTTCCACTCATTTCATGGTTTAAAGCCCAACTGTACAATCTAATGAAAACATTCCAGACTGATTATAATCACCCCCTTGGCCAAACAGAGGTGTGCTTCCTACTGAAGTAATTTCACAAAGTATGGTTTTTAGCAAAAACGCTATGTTAAGAATCCTCTGCTCCGCACCACCCAGTATGTGGTGCTGTAATGCCGTCGCCTCTTGCAGGCTGTGTTAGAACAGTGCGGTCAAGTGAAGCTAATGCCTTGGTGTCTGCTTGTGGCAGCAGGACGCTAGTTTTCACTCACTGAATTCTTTCCCTTCAAATATTTGTTGAGAGTTACTTGCCAGTGCAGTTGCTTTCCTCGCTGCTCTTCATTTCTGTTTATGCTACAGTGCATTATTAGCTTTGGGGCATGCTAGTTTAGCTGTAAATTACATCCTGCACTGCATGAATTAGAAGGAGGAATTATATTAATTTAGCCAGTGCTACATTTCAGTAAACCTACTCTTCAAAACATGATCATATGTAACAAGATTGATCCCAGTGAGTTAATATTTTAAATGCATGAGGTCAGGCGTGTCTTGTTTATGATTCAAGACCATGTCTGACTGTCAGTTTTCCTGCTGTTAGCACCCATCAGCCCAAATAATCTCCACACCACTAATTGGGAAAAAAATACACTTTAGTGTTATGCCATGGAGGAGACTGTAAAGACGGCTATACCAATTTTTTTCAGGCTCTTACATAATGCAGTGCAGTCATACAATGCTTCCCAACCCATGCTTTTCTGAACAGAAAGTTCCAATGGACTATATACTGTATTAATAGTAAATCTGAATGTCTCTCTACGTAGCTTTGCTTTCAGCCATCTGCTAAACTCTACTTCTCCTGAAGTCTTCTCCAAGTTGTGTTGCTAAGATATAAAACTTAATAAGATTTTGATGATTTGCCAAAGCTACTTTTCCTAAAATATTTAACTACGGTAGCGCTGAGAAAACAGCAAAACCACTAACAATAATCTTTACTTTTGACCTGTGATGCAGAACTGCTATTAATGGGATGGATGAGCAGTGTTGCCTTGCGTATGCGGAGTTAGATCTTGGGTCCCCGAAACCCAGAAGGGAATCTTGAGGCGGCAGTGGTTGGACACCTTTGTCTCTCTGATCCTAGTGCTGATGTCCCAGAATAGTTTCTTAGAACAAGGTAGGGCACAAGATAGTTAACTTGTGCCAGGCTTATTACAGAAGTAGCTGGAGATTGTACAGGAAAGCGCAGATCATCTAGTGCTATCCTGTATCACTCATCACTTCCAAACTGAGAACTCCATAGAGGTGGGAAATCCTTCTCTGGGCCTGTTTCAAATTGGAAATGGAAGCAGTCTTTGGTATAATCTTAGGAGACCTGTCTGCAAAAGAAGTATGTTCTCAGAGCTTGTTCACAGAAGTCTGAGCATGTTCTCAGAAATCTGGCCAACGGCCCACTCAAGCTGTTATTTGGATGTCAGCTGGCTGCCTTTCATTAGTAAAGGCTCGTGGGTGTGGGTCCAAAAACCAATCTAAATTTTAAAGTGGATTTATATGAAGTTCTACAAATTTAGATACCAGGCTCAGAATAATTTTTCACGTGAGCTTTCTACTAAAATATTTACACCATCTCTAGAAGCCCATTTATTAATAGTATGACTCTGTAATACATAAAGGGTTGCTTGTAGAACATACATAGAATAGAAAATGCAAAGATTGTATGTTTGTACTACTGACTTGCTCTATATTGCATATGTATACAAGCAGACAGAAAAGGGCTGGTCTTATGACTATATTGGTTTAACTCAAAACAGTTGCTTAAAAGGAAGAAAAAAAAAAGGGATGAGGGGCAGCTGTTCAACCATTATCTGCTGTTTGTAAGATACGGCACTACAGAAAGCCTGAAGTGATTTTATGTTTAAAACAATTTCTGTTGGTTCATTGGAGGGAGTAACTGAATTCCTTCATTTATTAACCTTAAGGTGCATGAGGCACACAGGGGAGAGAGAGATGGCCTTAAGTGCAGCTCCTGTCACTCGTGATGGCCATTCTTGTCTCTACAAGAATGCAGGCACACCAATGTGGAAGGAGCTGCTGTACAACTTCTGGAATAACTGTCTTTGGAAAGAGCCTCTTCTGGCAATGTTACCCCCCAGGCAATTAAAGGATGCTCTTCTCCACAGATGCTGCTACAATCCACGCAACTATGGCTCTCAGAGTAGGCCTGGGTTAAACAGCTAAAACGGTAGTCGTGCTCCTTCACAGATTACTGACATGGGCAGAACAATCCTAAACAACCTTCTCCCTATCCTAAATTAGGAAGTTAAGTACAATTACTAGGTATGTCAGAATGGTATGTTTTCTTCAGTTCTGCTTTCTGATAGAATACCAGGGTTTAGAACACCAAGAAGTGAGACTTGCTGAAAAACATGGAAAGGTGTAAAGGCTGCTTGCACTTCGCCTTCCCCACCCTCTTCCTTTTTTCTGTTTACTCTGATCTAAACAGTTTCAAGGTCAATAATACATGTGACTTGAAAGTTCTTGAAAAAGTATGTATTTTTCTCCTGGACTGAAACATTGAATTTCTTTCAAAGAAGTTCATAAGTAATTTCGTGTGTTTCATTAGTATGCCATCAATATGATAAATTGGATGTAGTAATAGGACAAGGGGTAACGGGTTTAAATTGAAAGTGGGGAGATTAAGCTTGGATATCAGGAAGAAGCTCCTCCTGGAGAGGGTGGGGAGGCACTGGGACAGCTTGCCCAGAGGAGCTGGGTGGTGTCCCTGCCCATGGCAGGGGGGTTGGAACTGGATGGTCTTTATGGTCCCTTCCAACCCAAACCATTCTCTGATTCTATGATTTTAATGTGAATATTAGTAAATGAGAATTGGCTGTACACATGCCTTTATTTAGTAAGTTATACTCTGCTAAGGAAAACTTGAACTTAAACTAAACAAAATCTGTCCATATTTAGAGTTTGTGTGAACGACATTTTTGTAGTGGATATAGGTCTAGCATTTTTGTTTTCTTCTTTAACAGGCTTTGCAAGTGCAGGACTATAACACTTAGAATATTAGAAACGTGCTTACCACGGAGGAGAATCGGGATATATGATGTTGACCTGAGAAAGTGTATCCAGATAGGAACCAAAATCAAATGCTGGGGGAAACTCCTCCATGCAGGTGGATCTCAGCTCTCCAAAAGAGCCACCATAAGAGAAGACATCTGGAGCTGGAAAACAAGCAATTAATAGTTACTGCTCTTTTCCTCTATGGTGGATTCTCTGAGACAATGTCACTGTTCGTAACACTGCCATAAATCAGGAAATAAAACCTATCTGAGGCAGAGGAATTACTGGTATTCTGGAACAGTGAGGTTTCACAGGACATTTCTATTCCTTTAAGAGCAAGTTAGCATCATCTGTAGAAGAGTCGTGGTGTTTGAGGCTATGGCACAGAGGCTATATACTCAGTGCTGCCCTACAAGATGAAAGTGTCTAAAGATTTTCTTGTTCCTCAAAGGCTGAAAAGGAGTGTCAGCTCTGCTGTGTGCAGCTTCAAAGGTTAGCAGGATTGCTGCAGTTCCCAGGAGTCACGTACGCTGAAACCTCGCCAATTCTGTGAAGGGTTTTAAAAGGAGGCTTTGGTGTTTGATTGTGGGTATGTGTCTTCAGAAAATGCCATTCTTAACAAAAACACTCGCTAAAAGGGAAAAAACTGGAAAATAGTAGAGAAAATCATCCTGCTGCCAGCTCCATGGCTTGCATAATGCTTTTACACAAGAGTTTCAGTGCTCCAGAAATACCAAGAACTTAGTGTTATTTTCTGTCTTTGAGGATAGTTAGTTCATGCTCAATATTCCAGGGTAAATTTCCATAAGAATGTCCCAAATTGTGGAAATGCAGCAATCTCTGCTCATCCTCCTCCCCATCCTGCTGTTGTTTTCCAAATAAAACAATCACTTTTCAGTCACTGCATTAGAACAGCACCTGGAGAGAAGGGCCAGTTTCTAAGGCGACTCCAAAGCAGTGTCTTTATGAAGAGGGGATAAAGGGCAGGACTCACTTGAAATGCCTGTTCCTCCTTCTTCCAGTTTTCACCTCTGCCAATTTATTCTCGAGGAGTTTACCAGGACTGATCCAGTCTATCAGGCACTGTGCTTTCCTCTTGCTTGGTAAGTGAAGGAGGCCAACTTCCCAGTGCCCCTGCTGCTTTCATGCTGGCCAGTGCTGAGATAGCAGGATGGCATGTGCTAATGTAAAATTTTCACCTGGGTAGACTGGCGTAATTTAGGTGAAGATCATTCTTTTGAATTTATCTGAAAATATCACCTTGCTTTTCTTTTTCCATTTCTCTAGCACTGTTATTTCTGACAAGCAGTTTGAAAGTTGTCCTTTATGTTTTTGCCAGGCTTCAGGATTTCTAAAGGAGCTGTAATTAACATAGCAGTAGATTTGAACATTGGATCTTAATGGTCAGTGTTGTATCATGCCAAAACATTGCTGTTTACAGGTTAAACTAACTCCAATTTGAGTTTAGCTATTTAATCCCAAATTTAGCTGCTGAAAAGTAGGAAAAAAGAGATGTTGCAGTAATAGTTGACATCAGTTTTTTGTTGGTGTTTTGTTTGCTTGTTTGTTTGTTTCCCTCTGTACGCTACCATGGGAGTTTGCATTTCACTTCTTTTGGAGTCTAAAATTTATTCTCAAAACATAGGTGCTATTCACTTACCTGGATGAATGTTTCTGGAAAAAGCACACATACTTATTCCTGGCTCCAGGTAGACAAACTTATCCTAGGAAATGTGTTTCATTTACAAATGATAATTCCTGGTCCAAATAACTAAATTAAGTTCAGGTTGAACAGGGCTGTGAGCAACCTGATCTAGTTGAAGATATCCCTTCTCATTGTGGGGAGGTTGGACTCGATGATCTACAATGTCCCTTCCAAACCAAATTGCTCTATGACCAAGGGAGTAAGCTGTGTAAGAAATGCCATTGGAATTGGCCTTGCTTTTGTTAACCATTAACTATGGAGCTTGTACGAAGTGAATTCAGTGCCAGCACAAAGATGCTTTTAAACTACAAAGCTGTCGGTGACCTACTCATCCTATTTTTTAATTTTTTTTTTTAATCCCTTGCACAGCAGCCAGATGCTTTTTGTTGCTCATAGCACCAGATATCAGTAAGTTAAGCATTACCTTGCTAAAACTCGCTATCTTACCATAAACAGCCTCCCTCCTCAGATGTGGGTGTCTTAACCGTCCATCCTTTCGCAGACTGCCAACAATGATTGTGACACAGGATAGAAATAGCACAAGTCCGATCACTACTCCAGCCACCAGAAGGGGTGAAACAAGTAAACTGGTATCATTTCCACTTTCACCATAGCTGGGGAAGTCACTGGTTGGGCTGCTGTGGTTCAAGTGAACTTCTGTGCAGGAGAGAATGGAAGAACATGGCGGTTGTGAAAAGAGATTATTTACAAAGTGTGGTTATACAGATGCCAAAACTAAGGGCTCTCAAAGGCCTGAGGCACAGCACGAGACAGGTCCAGTGTACGAATTCACGCTCTTATGGACAACTCATTTATTAGACCGATTTCTGGAGCTGTTAGTAACTAACGCTGGGAGGTCACCTGGCAATTGTTTCCCTGTTACTGGGTGAATGTTTGCTGCATAATGGTAATTGTGATTGCTCATTCTTGGAAAGATTCTTTGTATCATGAATTGATTGATGCTGAAAGAACTTCAGTGCACAAGGAGGAATGTGAATATTCAAAAATTTGGGCCCTGACCAGAACAGAGGAATCGTGTCTTGTTATTGGGTGTGAGGACTCCAGGGCTTTGCAGAGAAAGTTTTGGGCAAGAGTGAAACAGAGGAGCATGCTTTTGTAGCACAGGGCATGCTTTAGTTTGTGGGATGAGTCAGCATCCCAAGAAACCGATTTGGAGCAGAGGGGGAAGGACTCACTGAGAGTGGGACTCAGTGAGGCACTGGATTTTCATCAGACATGGCAGACGCTCGGGCAGTGTGGCGGTCCTGTTGGCCTTAACATCTAATACATCATTGAAACAGAAAACTATCACAATGAACACTTAAAATTTACTCATTAAAAACCCAAAAGCAAAGAAACTTAATGTATTGCCCTTTCCCCCCCCCCGCATACATTTAAACAGCAACCCAAGGATGGTGCCAAACCTGTGCTTTAGTCTAGGCTTTCCCAGTGCTCGGACTGGCTACATTTAGGTTTGGTGCAGTCACTCTCATGCCATCCTCCCTAGTCTGGCCTGATAGGGCGTACGGAAGGAGCGGTGTGGGCAGGCAGACCTCACCCTAAACCAGCGTGGAGGTGTTGTGGTGCAGCAGGTGCACCCAGCGCTTCAGCCCAGCGCAGACTGAGCGGAGCTCTGGCTGGCTTGGGCGCCTTCGTTCCAGGCCAGCATGGCAGTATTAGTGATCCAAAGCACAAAACTCCTCTGATATCCTACTTCCACCCCACTTGGATTTTTCAGTCAAAATGCATTCATATGTGGCAAAAACTACAACTGCTTTTCTGTTAAAAAAACCAAACCCCAAAGCATTCCCTAGATGTATTATTTAAGTTCAATAATGAATCTGCTTAAGGGAGAGCAATGGAAAATGCAATAAGATGCCAAACTATGAAAAGTCAGAATAACTCCAATAATTTACTCCCAAGTCAAATATCCTTTTGAGACAAGCTAAAGAGAATCAAAAGTTAAACAGTAAGTTTCCTCTACAGAATCCACTAGTGACATGTGATTATACATGTGAATTAATTGCCCAAAGATGTATTTATTGGGGATTGAATTGTACTGCTTATGGAGGGGAGATAAATGTTAGAAATGATGGGATAAAGGATTCAGGCTGTCAGCAGATAGAATCCCTGCTTAATTAAAAGGCTTTGTAAGTTTATTTGTGGACATAAGTTTGGGCAGGCAGTAAGGGTAACCAAAGGTAACCTAGGCCTTGAAAACACTCTGCAATAAGTGCCCATTTTCCTATCCTTAATCCACAGTTTATTAAAAACCAAAGAAACAAGCACACACGCACACAAACTGAAATCTCCCATTAGCTGCTCAGGATCAGACTACCTACTGAATAAAGCAGAATTTTATTGGTGTAAGAACTTACTGGAGATACATATATTCCAAGACTAGCTGTCAAATACAGCACAGATGTATTTTTATATCTGTTTATATGCCAGTCGAACAGATAAATAATTTATTTCCTACAAAAATTAAGGCTAACAAAATTTTGCTCTTTTGAATTTTCTGTGGAGTATGTGCTTTTGGAAGTACAAGTGTTTGTTACATGGATAGATGTCAGCAGATAGTTTTCAGCAATGTTTTCCCCACTCTTTTCCTTTGGGATATACCACTTAGTGTCTTGCAGTCACAGTAAGCTTAAAAAGAAGATAATGGCTTCAAGCCAGTGTATGTTATCATTGGCTAACGCTTGACTTTGGAGAACTGACTAGAAATATAAAAAAAACCGGGTAATTAGCATGTAGTAGGGTTTTTGTTAAATTTTCAGAAGCACTTGACTGTTGGCTGGGAATCTTTATGAGCAATTAAGATAGTCGGCCAAGAAATGTGCTGAGCTTTTACACAGCATTTTATGCCAAAAGATAAAACTGAATTTTCTGAAAATTAAACTGATTCTGTAGTATTCAATCAAAAGAGTATGGAAAACTCTCCTACTTAATACTCTCAGTGCAAACACTCTTCAGGTACAGGATAGATGTTTGAGGGGTAGATTCTGCTGATCTTACGACATTGCACTAGAATGAAACTTCCTCAAGGTTCACAAAATTCTAATCATGTTTCTCATTTGTAGTTATTTTAGCTGCCTCTGTTGGTAATGTGTCCAACAAGTGTGTACTCCCTCTGGCATCCCACTGCCGTATACATCCCACTGTATTCAGGTTTCTGGAAGTTCTGTCTCTGAAAGATGCAAATATCACAGCAGTGCCAGAGAATTTAAATCACAATTGTAGGGAATTGGCACCTGAACTGGAAGTACTGGTGGATAATTTATTGGTAACTTTGGCAGACTTGCAAAGATAAAAGGGAAGAATCAACCTGGTTGCCATCAGGATGAGAACATGAGCCTAAGGTGTGAGATTGCTCCATGCACTCTCAGGCTTGTAGTCTTCAAACTGATGTCTAGTAGTACTGACACTGGAGTTGGTGATGAACTTCCTGTCGAGTTCAGTGGGAAAGAAAAGAGGCCACAGTCGGTCCTTTTGGATCTTTTGAAACTTGGACAACTTCTAAATGATCCTCTTAATAGGAGGGGACTGTGTAAAGAAAAGAGTAGACTAGATTTCTGTTTTGTTCTGTTGTGTATTGTTTAGCTATGGAAGCCAGCTGGTAACATGCTGACTAGTTTGGGGATTCCTGTGGTGCCACCCAGTGTCAGCACTAATATTTGGTCCTGTTTTGCTTTATAGGAATTTAACAGGTTAGCAGTGACTTCAGATAGATAGTACTCGCTTGTTACCCTCTCCACTTGTACTCGAGGTGTTAATTTTTTATTCCAAGACAGCCCATTTATCACGTTCTCAGGGCTTCCTTAGCTGTTCCAAATCTTGTCTATTTTATCTCTTGTTTCTCACCATCATGAATCTTTCTCTTTTTTTATGCTCTTAATCTAACTGAACCCAGTCTCTGGTGGAGACAAGATATATTGTAATACCGCTTGTATTAGACGGCATGAGTAAGTCCCCTTCGCCTAGCTCCTAAACCAACGTGCAGTTGATAAACTTCTCCTATGGTATTATTTTCAATCTGGCACTGTGAGTCCCGTGCTCCAGACTTTACAAACTGAGTTACTACTATGGGAATTGCTCAGGTGAATAACAGCTACAGAATGAGATATAAATTCTTTGGTTTTGAGGGTTTTTTTGGGCAAAAGATGCTTACATTACTTTTGGCAAAGGAATGCCATATAAATTTTTCTCCTCTTATCCAAACATCTTCTTTTGATCAGCTGCATATTTCTATATATAAAAATGCTATGTTTCATTCGGAATAGAAGTATCTGGAAATTTATGTAAAGCCCATAAATATAACGGCAGTAGCAGAGTGCTAACTTTTTTTTTTTGTGAGTTGTATTTTTTCTGAAACTGAAAATTGTAAACAATACATACATAAATATGAATACTTTATCATCTAATCCTCTAATATGAATTTTATGAGAGGCACAAACCACTGCTTCTCTCTAGTGATGGGAGTTGTGTAACAAACCAGACATGGCGCAAATGGAAAATGCTGGCTGTTGCAGCCATGAATACGACGCAAGGAGCTCCTATGGCTGAGCAAACAATGAATTCAGCATGACAGTAAAAGTGGCAAATTGCCTACACTATACATTCATTATTAGATGACAAATTATCAATCTGCAACATCCTTACATATCACATTATACTATTTTACCCAGTGCTCCTGCATGTCAGTAGACCAACCTGTAAAGTAACTCCCCATAACTGAAGGAGGTGCAGTACAACTCCTCTTCTGGCATATGTTGTGCTTTTCCCCTTCTCATTAACCTGTCTTTGAAGGGACACTTCGTATCCCTTTCTAACCTGGCAGTAAGCAATGTTGACGTTTCAGTTGGGTCAGATCCTGTCGGAGTGAAGTTATCTTGGTGTATAGATGTGTCATGGGAACTTGGTTCATCTATGACATACAGCCCTTTATTAGGAGTGGCTTCGCTCTTCTTCACTGGCTTTTACCTGCTGTTATCCCAGATGAGACAGAAGGGAAGCACTACGTATAAATTAAAATCACTTCTCTCCACACTGAGATCGTTGGGGCTTGTGTTGGGGGGTGGTGGTGGTGTGTTTGGTTTTTTTTTTCCTCCTGAAGGCACATCAGCTCTGGTGAAGCCGCAGTGGTCTCTCTAACTGATAGGGTTTTCCTTGTTCCCTTTAAAAATCAGATATTATTTTCAGGCTAGATAACTGATAAGATAATCAAATCTCTTCCTGTGGTTTAAAATCTATCATCTTAATAAAGATGATAATTCACGTTATCACTGGTGGAGAAGATGAGACACGGAGGGGTTTTGTTTCCCAGACTGAGATGTGCGTGAACAGCTCACGAGGAATTGCTGATGTGTTCTACTGGAAGGATTTTGTGTGCGGAATCATACAAGGCTGCATCCCGGCCAGCTTCAGTTAAGCCCTGCCTGAGGACAGAACGGGTTTAGTGCTTTCTTGCTGAACGAGATCCGAAGCATACTGACAGAACAATGCTGTATTACATGCATGCCCTGCGTTAGTACAAGCTGTTTGGGGTTGATGATCTAGCACCTCCTATTACCTTTAAATACGCTCTATTAACAAAGTGCACAGGAAATGAGTAGGAGGGAGCTCAGTATAAGACAGTGCATAGTATGCTTTGATTTTTAAATA